AAAGATGCTTTTTTAAGAACAGACTTAAATACATCCAAGACGAATCTCTCATGGTTTCTAGTAGATTTGAGTCATAGACTAAAAAATCAGACAAAAACTTTATAGACAAAGATACTTCCAGAGACAAGAAATGTAACAAAAACTTAAGAGACACAATTTCCGAAACAAACCAGAGGATTGTAACGTCATAAGCAATGGGACAACATATAATTACATAAATTGTAGACTAGTGTACAAACATTACGATAATACATGAATAACACTCAAACATATTGGGTCACTGCATATTGCATTTTGTATATATAAACATCTTAAAAAGAAAAAAACAATATTAAGCTATTAAATATTATTATATTATTATTATATTGTTAATATCTTAAATATAGCCCATTCATAAAATTTTTTACTATAAATCATTGTTATTTGAAACAAAACTTATACTTCTGTTAAAGTATTTGTTGTCTGTGGGCTAGATAAATACAAATCAGTAAATGTCTTTCAACAAATNAGTAAGAAAATCGTATTTCATTTGTATTATAAATTATTGTTAATTTAAACAGTACTTATACTTCCGTTAAAGTATTTGTTGTCCCTGGGCTAGAAAAATACAAATCAGTAAATGTCTTTCGACAAATTTGCTTTTATGAAACGTTTTTGTAGCGCTATTACATGGGTTAAATTTAAAAATTTTAATTTTGTGTTTATGTGTAATACTAAAAATTAAGACCGTTCTTTGTAATAAGCAATCTTGCTGTGTACTTATTTTACTCTTACGACTTCAACAATTATGTCGACAAGTATACAACGTTTTTGAAATGTAAGTGTGCCGTTAAATTAAGAGCTTACGTAGGTCCTGCTTTGGTTTTAGAAGTGGCTAATAAACACCTTTGCACGTGATATCTTGAAGTATGCACGTTATGGCAGTACTTCCGACTAGGTCAGATTTAATTTATTTTTTATATACCACGTAAATAATTTTTTTCTTAGGTTATGTTGCATTTAGTAAGAAAACTGCAGTGACACAGTGTAGCTGAAAATTTGCTTTTTAAATTAAAAAAAATTAATGAAATTGGTTTTAAATTGTCCTGTTGGCCGATTTTTTGACAAAAATAGTCGTTTACTGCCCACTGTGTGGCGTCACTGGCTATTTCAGCAGGGCCAGGACACTTTGCACCAAGCACTGCACCAGGGGCACTCAAGGGCAGCTGCAGTAGCAACGATTGCCAAAAAAGGAGAGAACTCCAACAGACACTTCTCCCACAAAAACCAATAAATTGCTTCTCGCTTAATCGCCCTGGTGAAATTGCTCCTCGCAAATCACAACAAATCTCGCTCTACGCGCTTGTACCGGCTCAAGCTTATCTAGCCTCTTTTCTGCTTTTACCTTTTTCCTTTTTTTCCTAACTATCCTGTTTGCTTTTCCCTTTTTCCCTCTTTTCATATTGATCCTAGCCTACTGATGATGTCTTGACGGTATTTCACCGTCACAAGTTTTAACAGTAAGAGCTAGTTAAGTTGAAATATCAGAAGACGAAGATTAGCATCAACTTTTTTTCGTGTTCATTCATCAGGAATGTTGTTTTCAAAGTATTTTTAGCAAGGAGCAACATGCATTTGAATAGATGTGAATCACCTGCAAGTTACTTGTGTCTATAGCATAACTATAATTTATGTACATGCACGCTGGCCCATGCTGACCGGAAATGAACAACAAACAAAAATTTTTCGACGCAAAAAAATGAAATGACCGTAGATGAAAAAATTTAACTGAAAACAGTTTAACTAAGGGGTTATATTTAATATAAATATAATTTTATATTAGGATTAAGCAGCATAAGGTTAAATATTAGAATAACTTAGAATTAATACATATAAATAAGCGAAAATCATAGAAAACGCCAAAATTAATACATAAAGTTAGAAACAACTCATACGCACAACACTGTTAGCAAACAACAACATTACATATCAACTAAAGTAAACTTGGTAAAGCAACCTCATTAATTTTTGAAGAATTATCTGATTTTTACCATACATGTTTGCAGGCTCATGATTTTGTGGATAACCCATTTTAATTATATCAACAATTTCAGAAAAGTACTGCAAAAGTCTAATTGGTAATTAAGTAGATTGTTTCTATTTTTTCAAATGTTGAAGAATACGGGAAAGTTAACTCTTCTTCTTTTCTTGACTCAAAAATGTTCAGAGAAAGAGAGAGAGAGTTTGTACTCATGCCTCTAATAGGGGTAACGGAATCTCCGATTTCCCAGGGTATCACAAGCGGACTCCTTGTACAACGACTAGCAGTGAAAGACATGTTAACTACGATTTGACCGAAATTCGGTATCATTTTTTCAACATTATAAACAGTCAAAACTACCGGTAAATCTTATTATGTTAGCTCGTGACAGGCAAAGTACTATTATTTTCATCATTATCCTTACAACTCCAATTATTATTATCATTATTGTGATTGTTACTATTTCAACTGTTATTATTATTATTATCAGTATAATTATGATTATTATTAGTATAAATAGCACTGGCATAAGCAACTGGACGTTTCAGTTTGCTGTTGTACGCTTAAGAAACTTTTTTATTTGGCTTAATAATTTAGTGAGTAAGTAAATTATAATATTTAAATGATATAATTTCATGAAAACGATTACATTATAAGACCTAATACAATTACTTAAGCTATGTTTGTTAACTTTCTATAAAATTTCTGTAGGCTGCTGTCTATTAAAAAAATTGTTTTGAAAATAAGAACTTTAACTAACCATTTAATATTGACCTCAATATTTTCTTTACAAAAAATACTATGACTTAACCGAAGATAAGAATTTACTAAGTTACCCTTCAAACCTTAAGTTAAAATATTGAAAGAGTATAAATTCAACAAAAATAACTTTTACAAAACAAAATTTTTTTATCTTTAATGTGTATAAATTAATCATAAGCATAAATGAATTTTTTGTAGTAAGCCATAGTAACAATACAGAAGTTCTGGTTTTTGGCATCATCAATTAAGATTTTATTTTCTTTGACTAAATGAGCCAATTGTGTCTACTCTAACTCTACAAACAAAAAATTCGCCTTAAGTGCTCAAGAGGAACTTTATAACAAAGAAAAAAAATTACAAAATTTTGTAACTTTTATGTCTATACTAAGGTGAAGTAATGTTAACATTAATGTTAATTAATAAAACAGTATGGAAAAAAACTAAAATCCTTGGCAATAAAAATGTTATCAGAAAAAAGCAAAAAAGGTGTTAAAAAAAAATTGAACAAAAGTTAAACTTATGTGTCAATATGCAAAATAAAAAAAAATGTAACATAAAATTTTTGTATTTTTTTATAAAATTACGAGTTTTATAAAATATTGATACTCTTTATTTCGGAGAACCTACTTTGAGCTATCAGTCTGCTGATGATAACAACACTTCCAAGCAGTTTAAAAAAGTAAAAAAGTCACAACAGAAATTTTTGAATTAAGTCTTGCTCTTGTACATTTATTAAATTTTAATTTTATCACATTCAAAATAAATTTTCTTATTACACAATAGACCTGTAAATATAATGAAGAATATATATTATTCGTACCCTATGTCACTAAGAGTAGGTGAAATACTGCTACATCGATACGATATTAAAGTTTAATCAATCTTGCCTACTGATAAGTAAGAAAATCGTATTTCACGAAGACTGTTATAATCACTAAAAAAAAGGACTTCTAAGTCTGACAAGCTTTGAAAATTACGCCTTTTATCTTAACTTATTTACCGTACTTTTAAATTGTATTCTAATCTTAATAATTCTCAATTATTATTAAAATTTTCATGCCTGTATCTCTGTATAACCTTAAATGTTAATGATTTTGAGGGCTCCCTTAAATACTGGAATGCATCTAAGTCCTATATAAATTTTTTTTTTTTTTTTTTATATTATAGTGCTCTACGTCCGGCTCCTTTAATAAGGGCACTACTATGGGCACTTAGCACTTGGGAAAGGGACAAGGAAAGGGATGGGAGGCCTCCCATTATTGGGAGGGGGTAGGGGGAAATTAGGCAATTTTTGCTGCGAGAAGGTCGCCTAAGCCCTCCTCGAGGAGCATTGCGTGGTGAAAAAGCACATGTGAACAATCACAGAGGTACTTGCCCGACAATGTCGCACTGGCCGGGAATTCAACCACGGTCCTAGCTGACTGAGCCACCGCGCGCTCATGTATATATATAAATTTATATATATAATTATGCGTCAGAGACTTACATAATAACACACACACACACACACACACACACACACACATATGTATATATGTATGTGTGTGTATGTGTGTGTTATTATATAAGTTTCTGACGCATAATTATACTTTACGATCTCCTTATTTTTAAATTTTCTCAACTTACTTCCATTTGACACTTAATAACTAATCTAATAAATTGTTTTCAAAATTAAAATACTTTGTTTTAATACTAAAAACATTTTGCTCTTTACTGTTCTGCTAGAATCTGTTCTTGTATTTAGTAACTCTTATGTACCCCTGCAACTATTATAATTGCCATTGCAATTATTTTTATTCAAACCAGCTACTTTTTTATTACGTGTATCATAATATCTTGTTTCCTTTTTTTTATAGAAGTTTTTATTATAACCTCCGCCTCAATAAAAATTATTTTGGTTCACGAAAAGATTTTCATAATCACTATCATATACACTGCTATAACCCATATAAAAAATTTTTTTTGACAGCTATTTCCTACACCAATTTTAAGGCTTATTTTATTGTAATTCTTTAGAATAACTTTTGGAATATTCCTATGATATTTTTCACCCATTATCAAGTTAATGAAACATAAAAAGTATGATGTACTCTAATTGGTGTCAGTATCAATATAAACAGACAACAGTTAGTTTTACCTTTCGTAATCATTCAAATTATTGGTTGAATAATGTATACCTAAAATAATTAAAGCTAAAATTATATCTGCATTGTTCTAGGTTGAAGTAGAAGGGTTATCTGGATTCATTGCCTTTGATACTGCTGGATTCCGGAGTAAATTTGAATTAGAAATATTCAAAATTAACGATAAAGGCCTTGAATTAGTTGGAAGGTGGAATTCATCAAAAAATATAGAATGGATTTTAAGTGAGTCTGTAAATATTGAATCAGACATGCTAAGCCTTAAAAATACAACATTTAGAGTGCTTATTGCTTTGGTAAGAAAAATGCACTTATTTTAAAAAACATACATTACTTAATTGATTTTATAAACATTTCTTACTACAATAAGATATAATCTGTATCATTAAGCACGCCTTTTATTTTGTAAGATTCTGTATGCACTTGAAAAAAACATGCTACAAGAAATTAAATTTTATAACTTAAAATAGATTGAACCGTCTTTTTTTTATGTTGAAAAAAAAAAAGAAATTCTAGAGAAGAAAATTCAGATAAAAAATATAGTTGAATGTTTTTAAGAAAGCCTAAGTATTAAAAAAAAAAAAGAATTTACTTTCCCTATATTTTGTTTGTTTCTACCTTACTTCTTATGTAATAATTAGTTAATTTGCTAAATATAGATGCTGCTTTTTCGCGTACATGCTTGCACCTACATATTTCTAGCTAAGTGCAAGAAAAGGAAAAAAGGTAGTATTTTTAGCCATACTAGCAAAAAATCTATTAGAGTATGTAAAACAGTTTATTACAAAAGTCTGTTTTAAGCATTTTTTTTTATTCTAAAAATAAATTAAAGCTAACAGGCATGTGTTCATCAAATTATAACAGCACTTTCTTGTGGAACTAATACTTTTGTCAAACTTTTTCATCTACCAGAACACCTTAAGGCACATAACGATTATAAATTTTGCTCCTACTGCAACAAATATGATAAACATCCTATAGAACTATGCACAAAATTAGTAATAGATGCGATCAATAAGAGAATACAAAATTGGGATATCAAATTGAGCTACGTACCAGCTAAGCTGATATGGAATATTATATCAGTTCAGAAAAAAATTGCTTTTACTGCTTACAAAAGGGTTATGACATAAAGAAATGTTACTCCGTAGTAAAGAATGCTGTGAATAACAAGATAAGCTGGTATGATCTGCAGGCAACAAATCAATAACAATTAGACCAATTATGATCAGTGGTGGGAAGGCCTTAACAATCGACAGAGTTATAATAATCATTATATATCCTCTAACAATATCTTTAACTCAAAATACTACAATAATTATAAAGGAAACAACAATAAAAACAATAGTTAGAGCAGTAACAGGGGCAATAATAATAACAAAAACCATAACAATCGCTACTATAATTACGACGCCAACGCGCGGACAGCAGATGCGTTTGTGTTCAGCAGTGTTTGTTATGTAGTTAAGGTATTAAAAGTAATTTACCAGTACCTTTACGAGTAATGAGTAATTAGTAGCTGAAAGCTCTCCTGGGTTGGCCAGTGAAATAAATTGCTTGTCAAGCCGGTAATATATTATAAGAAACGAAAACCTTAATTAAATTGTCTGCCAAACTTGGTTTATTGGATTACAAAAATTGGAATGATAATTTAGACAATCGGAAGTTTAATGGTATAACTGACTGTAGTTAATACCAGCTACTTGTTTGTTGGTCGACAGATTCTCCAGGAAAGAGGACGAGCTTGCAGTGTGTGGTTCTATTTAAACCCTAAATCGGATCGATAATCGGGGGTAGAACCGGTGGTGAGTCAAGGAGTGGAGGTAAATTTGAAAAGCATATTCTTAGAAAAAGATGCAGCTGCAGGTATAAGCCAGCTGTAAATTTGGTGGGGATGGAGTTAGGAAGCAGAAATAGCTGGGGAGTACGCAATCGACCAAGCGTGCATTGGTATCTATTTGTAGGTGCGGTAGCTAGGTGACGAATACCAAATGGTATTTCTTACTGATAGTGGGTAAACGTCACTAGACGTGATAATGCTGACATACATAGTGTTCTGAAACAATAGAATCAGTGTAATATTTACAGGCAAAAAGCTATCATTTGGATTCAGTTTTGTAGTCTCTTCCAAACTATTTTTATTAAACATAGTCACATAGTTACAGGATTTGGCTCCAATTCATATCCAAAACAGTCTTCTAGGTCAATGTTTTTTGTTTCAAAAAAGATATTTTCTGAAAGAGCTACGTCAGATCGACAGATGCTGTGCAATCGGATAAATATTTTAATGTAGTGCATAGCAAAGGCGATGCTTAATTTTTTTTATTTAAACTTACCCCTTGCCCTATTTTATCCTATTGTTTATTTAACCGACAACCAGCTTACTGCAACAGCCTCGCACTGATTAGTTGTTGAATCATCTATAAAACCTATTGCTATTGTCATTATATCAGGCCTCTCTGGAAAGAAGTTGGGAGCTGCAAACTTATCAGAAAAATTATTGCGATCTTTATTATACTGCTATATACGAGCATTTGCATTATTGAGGTGTTGTTCAGTAGCTGCGTTTGCTGTAAGCTAACGGAATTCTATAAGGTTTTAAAGGACCTTAAGTAGTATTGGCATGGATAAAATACACTGAGAAACTGCTTTTTTGGCCATTCCTATGCTGCCAGTTCAGTTCCCAGCACTAAGTATTAGTCCTTTAAGTACCTTTACGTTTATCTAATAGTCATATTTGCATATATATATAAATACATACACACCATAACAACATTTATTCGATCTGCTTGTTGTAAAAGAATCTTTTTTAGCAGGAAATGTTTATATGTTTAAAGATAATTTTTTTAATAAATCTAGCGTATTCCTAACACATAGATTAACACATCAAGCATATAGGAAGTGACCGCTGGCATTAAAGTAGAAAATTATTCTTTTAATGGTATTAAGGTATCTCCACTATTTGCCAGACCTTTCTGCATCGATAAATTCGAATGCTTATGGGATTATTGCGTAGGATTAACTTACATAACTTATATAATTTTACTGCAAGACCTTGAAAAGCTGATTTTTCTGGCCAAGCAGAGCGCTTTTTTTTGGATGCCAAAAAAGTGACTGAGCCTTTAATGTAAGTAAAGTTTTTTTGCTTGGCAAGTAGTTTACCATTTCTTTCTACAAACATTAGTTTGGTATCGGTGAAAACTGTTTTTAATAAAATTTTTTTCGATATCCCTAAATTAGCTATTTTATGTGCACTTAAAGCCCGAGCATATTGGTGCCCTTCGAGCATGATATTTAAATTGTTAGGTGCATAAACTTGGCTAAAAAGCTTTTTCATGCTGTTGTTTTCCATTATACTTCCAATTGCGCCTAAAAATAAAAAACAAGAAGTTAAACACACCAAGTCTTACTATAACGCTTCTTAAGATATACTTTTATAGGCACGTTATGTGTGAGTATAAATCAACGATCTCAGTGTTAGCTAACGGCCCAAAAAAAATGGTAAATGTGGTCAAAAATGGTTTTTTGTGTCTTAAAAAACTAAAGAGTTGGATAAAAAAGTTGTATTATCAAAAAAGATGCGCAATTTCAAGAGGAAGAGAATGAGCTCGAGTGGGATAAAATTGGCCCAGCCATTTTTTTGCAATTGGCCAAAAAGTATTCTTTTGGACCGTTTTTTTTTATTCATTTATTACTCACGTTCATTTAAATATTTAGACTTAAAAATTGAATACAAGGTAGATCTTATACCCCTTAACATCCACACTAAGTTGCAAGAAGATCGGTTGTAAACTTTTTGCAAACCACTGCAAGAAGCAAAAAATGGTCCCTCCGCAAAAAAGTTGGACATGGCTGGTTTTTCAACATATCGTTATTTTTCAAACAGCATTGTACTCGTCTTAAAGTGTTATGTAACCTACCAAAACGTCGTTCTGTTCGACATTCTGGAGGTTTACGAAAAGTTAATTGTCAAAAAGCAGCTGTTTTCCGTGGATGCGGTGGCACAGCGAGCCGCCAACGTAGGCCATGCCCACTCTCCCCATTATGCCTACGGGATTTTCGAGTGGCCACGTTTAAAATGAAAACGTGTATCAAAAATAACGATACCTTGGGAACCACGTAAAATAAATAATTGTTTTTTTATATTACGAGGAAGCTTTTAATAATATTACGCTACTGCATATTTACAACTTTATATGAATAATTGGAAGATTTGGACAATCCACGTTAATAATTTCTTATACTTACTGTTGCTAATTTTTCCTTCTGCATTTAAACAATAATTACAGCTAATATAAGCTCTTGCAAAATTATTTTTTTATANCTAATCAATTATACTACACTGAAAAAACAATTTCAGTTATAATAAATTGTTACAAAATTATTTGTTTATGACAATACAATTTTTATTTTCTAAAAAAGTTTGAAACATCTAAACATAATTTAAATTGGGCTAAGTAACTATGCAAATTATTGTTACAAAATTATTTGTTTATGACAATACAATTTTTATTTTCTAAAAAAGTTTGAAACATCTAAACATAAATAAAATTGGGCTAAGTAACTATGCAAATTATTATCACCACTCAACCTCAAAATTAGTAAATATCATACAGACAGCAAAATAAATTAAAGAAAATTATGACTAAGCAAATGAAAAATACATTAAATAATCTCAAATAATCAAAAACATAGTACCTATCCTAAAAACTACGATACCTAGGATAAAAGCGCAAGCTATTACCTCATATATAGAAACTTACCTTCTTTTGACCGTCAAAAATCTTTTAGGATAATTAGAAAAATAATGGTTAAAAAATAAGTCTATATTGTGAGTTAAACTAATTTACTGCGCTTGTTGGTTTGAAAATACTATGTTCAACAAGGCATATGAGAGGAACAAGATTATGAGCCATCCGTTGCGGCTCTAAAGACCTCGACTTACACCCGTGACTTACTAATCGTGCTTCGCATTCGTGCGAGTGCGTGTATTCGCTCCGTGCATCAGGTTAGAGGGGATAAAAAAAACGACTGCAGCGCTGTAGGTGAGCAAAGTTGGCGAACCCGTACCCCCATGAATCTTACAGTAAGCGTTGTCGTATATGAGAAAAGATATTATTTCATTTAAAGTAATTAGTTGAGAAATCGAAGGCGGAAAAAAAATGTTATTTAGCCAAACCGGGTCTATAATACGGATAAATAATTCTGCTAGGCACTTCAAATCGCCCGAAATTTTAAATAATAGGTTATTTAATATCATCTGTCATATAGTACACAACACACATACTTATCTGTA